TATCTTCCAAGCACTTAAGACTTATTCAGAAGTAGTAAGACATATTCAGAATGTTAACAGACACAAAAGTTACTACTCCTGATGGTCCCTTGATGCGATCTCCTTAGCTTTACAGACAAGAAGATCCTTAATTTTCATTTTCTTTTTCCTTTCTTACACTGTTTCTTAGCCAAAGTGGCTGTTTCCATAGCTAATAATAAAAACTGCATCAGCTCAGTGCCCGTAGCACAGTGGTTACGGCGCCAGCCACATGCACCAAGGCTGGTAGGTTCAAACCCAGCCCGGGGCCAGCTATACAACAATGACAACTGCAACAAAAAAATAGCTGGGTTTTGTGGCGGGTGACTGTAGTACCAACTACTTGGGAGGCTGAGACAAGAGAATTGCTTAAGCCCAAGAGTTAGAGCTTGCTATGAGATGTGATGCCCTGGCACTCCCAAGGGCGACACAGTAAGACTCTGTCTTAAAAAAAAAAATTAATAAAAAAAAAATTGCATCTTTCTTACACAATCCCCAAATATAAGAAGTGGGGTGATCTTTTAAATTTTATTTTTGGGCTCGGAGCCCATAGCTCAGTGGCCAGGGTGCTAGCCACATACACCGGGGCTGGTGGGTTCAAACCCAGCCCTGGCCTGCTAAAAACAATGACAACTACAACAAAAAAATAGCCACACACTGTGGCAGGTGCCTATAGTCCCAGCTACTTGGGAGGCTGAGGCAAGAGAATCGCTTGAACCCAAGAGTATGAGGTTGCTGTGAGCTGTGATGCCACAGCATTCTATCAAGGGCGACGTAGTGAGACTCTGTCTCAAATAAATAAAATAAATTTTATTTTTGACCTCTGGACATTGGCATGCCCTATGACTTAAGAAGATGCTTCCACGTGCAGGTTTTGGTGGGAGACAGAAGCAAAGGGTCAAGCTGTCTAACACAGCCTGTATCACCCGAGATTCCAAAAATTAAGCCCCAGAGAGAAGTGATTTCAAGCAACTACTTTAGCATCACCCAAGGACTGGACTCTCGCAGAGACTCAGGAGGGAAGTTACTGACCACCTTGGAGCAGTTAAGGGCAAATTTCCTCACCTGACACCCTAACCCTGGACGTCTGTCTAGATTACACAGCCAGCGGTAAGAAAGGGGCTGCGAGGCTAGATGTGGCATCCTGGCGAGTTTAGCAGTCACACTGCCAAAAACACATTCACCCTTGACATATGTTGATAGAAGTAAAAATATTTATTTTTTTAATCTTAAAAATCTGGTCCCACAAAGAGGCCAACACTCTTTTCAGTTCATGGTCTTGACCCTTCAAAAAGAAATCTTTCAATTGAGAGGTAAGTTGATAAAGGCAATTTCAGAGGTGTGCTCAGATAAACACTTAAACGATGTCTTAAGTCTATAAACCAGTAATCCAGGCAACCCTGGACTTCCAGTACATTGAGCTCCTTCTGTCATTCACAGTCCCTGAAGGAGAAAAGAAAATGGCTGTCTGCAGATAAGGCACTTCAGAAACCACCAAAGAGAAAACCCCAGTCTGCTGGGAGCTGTGCTGTGAATCTGCGAGCCCAGAAAGCTGCCAGCAGACAGGAAGGCTGAGGCCACCTCTGCGACAACACTGGTCCTCCCCACTGTTCCATCTTGTTCCCAGTGCCTACCTGGCCTGGAAGATGTGAAAAGCAGGCACCTGGGCAGAGGTGAGCACGGCTGCCTAAGCTCAGCAGCTGCTGACAGTGCGGAAGGCCTTCAGAGGCCCTGCTGGGGCACACTGCAGGAGCAGTTCCTTTTGCAAAGATGAGTTAGTGCAGATTAGCACATTAGCAAAGCAAAATAGTTAAGCACTTTAAAAAGCTGCTCAGGCCTTCCAATTTCCTCCTGATTGTTTGTTCAATCTGTAGCCTATTATAAACCTGCTAGAAATCAGGAAGAAATCCCTCCTCTGGAAGGCAGACTGACCGAAATGGCTACAGCCAATGGGGGTGCAGAAACTCCCCACCGCCGAGCAGTGATCATGGGACACTTGAGAGGGCTGATCTAAATCCAGGCGGCAAACTCAACCCATTCTTTTGCTTGGAGGGCTTGTGTTTAACATGGGTCATTGTGATGGAAGATGTATAGTCTAAGAGTCTTGAGAGGACAGATGGGGAGAGGGCCCCAGGAGCTTGTCTTCTCCTGTATTCTGGTGCATACTTGAATTCCAGGAAATAGTGTGCCATGGTGCCAATTTACTGCCTCACATGGAGTTTGTCAAGAGCCAGGCAAGAAGGAGAGGAAAGTGGTGCTTCAAACAGAGGCCAGCCAGGGAGTGCTTCGTCCTCCTTCCTTTGACCCAGATGGGCAGCTCCTTCCCAGAAGTCATATGAGGAAAAAGAGAACTGTGCTCAGGTTAGAACTGGACCCAGCCTGTGCCTGGCTGAGTCTGGCTGGAAGTTGACCTGTAAAGGGAAGATAGAGAGGTTAGGGGAAAGGTCAGATGTCTGAAGAGACAAAGTAGTTTTATAAGTTGGCTTCTCTGTGGGAAAAAAATACTCAGCAGCTAGTGCCTAAATGTTCTAAAGCTGGGAAGTGCCTGTGGCTCAGTGAATAAGGCACTGGCCCCACATACCAAGGGTGGCGGGTTCGAACCCAACCCCAGCCAAACTGCACAACAAAAAATAGCCTGGTATTGTGGTGGGTGTCTGTAGTCCCAGCTACTCAGGAGGCTGAGGGAAAAGAATCGCCTAAGCCCAAGAGCTGGAGGTTGCTGTGAGCTGTGATGCCACAGCACTCTACTGAGGGCAACAAAGTAAGACTCTGTCTCTAAAAAATAAATAAATAAAAATAAGCTTTATTTATAAAAGACTCTTAAATGAGTTCCATCATGCCTCTCTGTTTTTGTAACAAGATTTTATGGTGCTAATGGCTCAAGTGGCTAGGGTGCCAGCCACATACACTGGAGCTGGTAGGTTCAAATCTAGCCGGGGTCTGCCTAACAACAATGTCAACTACAACCAAAAATAGCCGGGTGTTGTGGTGGGTGCCTGTTTTCCCAGCTACTTGGGAGGCTGAGGCAAAAGAATTGCTTAAGCCTAAGAGTTTGAGGTTGCTGGGACGCCACAGCACACTACCCCAGGGCAACAGCTTGAGACTCTGTCTCAAAAAAAAAAAAAAAAAAATTTTATTAATATACAGTTATACCCTAATTCGTTTACTCATTGTCTGAGGTCGCCCTTATGTTAAAACAGCAGAATCGAGTACCTAGAACAAAGACCACGCAGGCTGAACAGCGCAAACTGTTTGCTACCTCGTCCTTTACAGAAAACGTGTGCTGACCCCTGTCCTAGAATCCGTCCATATAAATAATGGGGCAAAAGGAATTTAGCACCCTGACCCCAAATGAAGTCTTTAAATCTTATGGATCAGAGAAGGCTAGCCACCTTGCCTCAGAGGTCCCATAAGGATGCGTCAAGGCTAGGACCTACCCCAAAGCTCTGGGGACACGAGGGACAGTGGGGAAGGAAGAAGGTGGTACTGGGGACAAGCAAAGCACTTGGTGAGATGGTTAAAAGAACCAGACGGATTTGCAAAAGGTGACTCCAGGCCACTTAGCAGTGGAGAGCAGCAAAAAGCCTTCATGGCAGGAAATGTGCCACCCAAGCAGGCACTCTGGGGCTCCTTCCTCTGGCTGGCTTGAAAATGCCCCAATCAAAGCTACTGCTCTCAAAACCAGAAGAAAAGCACACAGAGCAATTTCAGGTTTTTAAATGAACAGCGCTTGCCTCAGCCCCACCACACGTGGCTCTTCTTACCCTGTGGATTTGGCAAAGTCTCCCCAGATGTCTGCGGTGGCAGCGGTGGCAGGCTTGGGTGTGGGCCAGGATACAGTGGCACCGCCTACTGATGTCCCCCGAGACCAACAGGTAGGGAAAGAAGAGAAGGAGACAGGGGAGTCAGAGACCTCTTTCTGTTGTCTCAATGACCAAATCATGAGATTCAGTGACAAGCTATTTAAGGCAACAAAACAAAGGGTCACCACATTTTCACCATCTTCTCACCAGCCCTTAAGGGCTCCTGGAGAAAAGGCAGAAGGCCATGTACAGGTAGGAGGCAGTGGCTCTTGCCTGTAATCCCAACACTCTGGGAGGCTGAGTGCTTGAGCTCAGGAGTTCGAGACCAGCCTGAGCAAGAGTGAGACCTCATCTCTAAAAATAGCCAGTGTTGTGGTGCGTACCTATAGTCTCAGCTATTTGGGAGGCTGAGGACAGAGGATCACTTGAGCTTAAGAGACTGAGGTTGCTGTGAGCTATGACGCCACAGCACTCTATCCAGGGTGACAACATGAGACTTTGTCTCTACAAATAAAAAAAGAGGCTGGGCATGGTGGCTCACACCTCTAATTCTAGCAATCTGGGAGGCAGAGGTAGGTGGATTGCTTGAACTCACAAGTTCGAGACCAGCTTGAACAAAAGAAGATCCCATCTCTATAAAAAACAGAAAATCTGAGGCAAGAGGATCTCTTGAGGCTCAGTGCCCATAGGATAGTGGTTACGGCGCCAGCCAAACATACCAAGGATGGTAGGTTCAAACCCAGCCTGGGCCAACCAAACAAATGCAACAAAAAAATAGCCGGGCGTTGTGGTGGGCGCCTGTAGGTCCAGCTACTTAGGAGGCTGAGGCAAGAGAATAGCTTAAGCCCAAGAGTTTGAGGTTGCTGTGAGCTATGACGCCACGGTACTCTACCCAGGGCAACATGGTGAGACTCTGTCTTGGGGAAAAAAAAAAAAGAGGATCTCTTGAGCCCAAGAGTTGGAGGTCGCTGTGAGCTATGATGCCACAGCACTCTACCCGGGGTGACAGTTTGACGATCTGTCTCAAAAAATAAAAAATAAAGCCATGTACAAGGTAGGAAGAGGGCACCAGTGAGGGCAAGTCACGTGCCATCTATCTTTCCTACCTGAAGCTGACTTTTTTTCAATTGCTTATGCTGAAATCTTTTAAAATTTACTATATCCTGTCTGGGCTTCTTGAATGGTGAATGCCCACCACCTACAAAATCATCTTTCTATAAAGCCTGCAGTCCAAGTGCCTGGATCAACCCAGCTGAGAACACAATGTGCCAGACATGTGCCAAGTCCCAGGCCCCAAACTGGTTAGGGTTGGATAGAGCCTTTCAGAAGAGGCAGCACAAAAGTTCATCCTTGTTCTTATCTCTTCAATGAGGTGGGTGGTGTGACGGGGCTGCAAAGCCTCCTTTTTATTGTACCTTTCTGGCACCTTCCCCAGTGCTGCCAACTGTCCCTTCTGAAGGTCCTGTGTCTGCCACCCTCCACTTTCCCCCTGATTTGCTACTTCTAATCTGCTTTGGGCTGGGAGACCAGATAAAACTAGGGCAGGGCCCTCAATGATTAAAGAGTTTTCCAGTTCAGTGCTTAAGGCACATTATCTTATCTTCCTCACCACAGCCCCTGGGGGAAAACAGGTGGGAATGTGCGACTTTATACAAGTCACTGAAGTTTTAGTTTTCCTATCTCTAATAGGAGGACAGTAACAATGAGTACTTCATAGGACTGATAGGAAGATTAAATTAATATGCATGAGTGCTTAGAACAGGCCCTGCACACGGGAGCAATAATAGTAATATTAATAAAACAAAGTTAACATTCAGCGAGCACTTACAACACTCTGGAAATTGTTCTAAGTGCTGTGTACTAATTAGCCCATCTGATCCTCACAAGAAACCTATGTTATGGTATAGTGACTTCCCCCATCCTATAGATGAAGAAACTGAGGCACAGAGAAGCAATATTCTGATCATAAAACTGGTAAGCTGATAGTTGAACTAAACCAGTCTAGCTCTGAAACATACAGCAAGTGCTCAATAAAGGTTTTTTTAGGTTTTTTTTGGGAGACAGTCTCATTTTGTTGCCCTCAGTAGAGTACCATAGTGTCACAGCTCACAGCAACCTCAAACTCTTGGGCTTAAGCGATTCTCTTGCCTCAGCTTCCCAAGTAGCTGGGACTACAGGCACTTGCCACAACACCCAGGTAGTTTTTAGAGATGAGGTCTTGCTCTTGCTCAGGCTGGTCTTGAATTCCTGAGCTCAAGCAATTCACCCGCCTCGGCCTCCCAAGTGCTGGGATTACAGGTGTGAACCACCATGCCTGGCCTCAATAAAGGTTGTTATTCCCAACTTATAGGCACCATTTTTCTGTCTTACACATTAGAACACAAGGACTTTATGCTGCACTTTCAGTGACCCAGCACCTAAAGTCCACCCGGCACATAACAGGTGCTCCACGTTACCTGTTAGAAATGCACAGCAACTGAGGGATGGCCTAAGACCCTGGCTCTCAGACTTGAGTGAGCATACAAATGAGAAAAAAAATAAGAATGCAGGCAGGGCACTGTGGTGGCTCACGCCAAGAGGCCAAGGTGGGTGGACTGCCTCAGCTCAGGAGTTGCAGACCAGCCTAAGCAAGAGCGAGATGCTGACTCTATTAAAAAAGCAAACAAAGGCTCGGCACCTGTGGCTCAAGCGGCTAAGGCACCAGCCACATACACCTAAGGTGGCGGGCTCGAATCCCCAGCCCGGACCCGCCAAACCACAATGATGGCTGCAACCAAAAAATGGCCAGGCGTTGTGGCGGGCGCCTGTGGTCCCAGCTACTTGGGAGGCTGAGGCAGGAGACTCGCTTGAGCCCAGAAGTTGGAGGTTGCTGTGATGCCATGGCACTCTACCCAGGGGGATAGCTTGAGGCTCCGTCTCAAAAAAAAAAAAAAAAAGCAAACAAAAACCAAAAAAACTACCCAGGCATAGTGGTGCATGCCTGTAGTCCCACCTACTCAGGAGGCTGAGGCAAGGAGATTCCTCAAGCTTGAGAGTTTGAGGTTGCTGTGAGCTATGACACCACAGCGCTCTACCCAGGGCAACAGAGTGAGACTCTTATCTCAAAAAAAACAAAAAAAAAAATTAAAAAATAATCCTGGTACCGGGGCAGGGGCTCACTGGTTGCTACTCTTGCCCACTCTCCTGGCTGGAATATTTCCTACAGGGCTGAGGTTTGAAGTTCAACCTCCAGATAAGGGAGCCAGTATCAGGAAAACAGAAAGGTTCCTGTCAGGTGGCTGTGAGAGCTGTGTGAGGAAACCAGCTGGTGACAATCCCTCAGCCTGGGTTAGGCTAAGTATCAAACTGGGTGTGGCAGGGGGAAGCGATTGGGGGCAGAAGCAAAAGGCTGGAGCCCCAGCTCTTCAGAGGCTGACACTGCACATTAACTACTGGAATCCTAGGATCTCCAAAGCACTCATCAGCACAGCCTGCTGGGGAGCTGTCTTGCAGCTTCCCAGCACTCATGGCTTTGGTGTGGCGCTCACTCCAAACTACTTCTCCAAATGGATTTCCCACCAGTCACTTTGATACACCTTATGCTGCATCCATCTCCCTAAATAAACCAGGTGTCTAAACGTCTGAGGTGTATTCATGCTGTTCTGTGTGGCATGCAACTTCCCTTTCCCCAATCTCCATCCTTCAAAGTCTAGATCAGCGGTTCTCAACCTGTGGGTTGTGACCCCTTTGTAACAATGAAAATACATCGCAGCATTAGGAAGGTTGAGAACCACTGGTGTAGATCAATGTCATCTCTTCCAGAAAGCCTCCCCAGATCACACTAGCTAGGAGTGAGTCTAGGCCCTATACATTTGGTCTTGTGCCTGATTCATCTCTCCCACTACATGTGAGCAGAGACTATGTGAATGTGTCTCTATCACACACTCACTCAATACCCACTGAGGAGCCGCTGAGAATAAGAAACCTATATGTGATAATGTCACAGTAAAAAGGCAGTCCCAGTTCCTGCCTTTCACGGGAGTGCAAACACCCTAAAGGGTAAGTGGAAGGTCTTAGGGGAATAGAGGAACCCCCATGGTCTCTACACCATCCCCCCTAAAGCTCATAAGGTATGTGTAGGATCAGCTTTGCGGTGCCCACCTTCCACTTGACATACACAGGGATTAAATGACGAATCAGTGTGTGAAGGAGGGAAACCAAGGGGCCCCGCTGTCAGGAAGAAAAGGAACCTACAGGGGCAGAGTTAGCAGTCACACCCCCTCCCCAGCACTGACCTGAACCGGGAGCAAGTGCTGGCTGGGTGAGGGATCCCCCAGCAGGTAAGTGCTCCCCGGGAGGAGGGATCAGTGTGGAGGTTTTGCCCCCTGGAGGCGGGGGGAGCAGGCTCAGCCCTCCTGTGCTGGCAGGTCGGACTCGGGGAGTCCCAGCTGCTCCTTCCTTCTTCTTCATGTTCTAAAGAGAAGAGGGGAATCCAAATCAGTCAACTCTGCTACATTCCCACTGCCATTAGCCCCATGGGAGGCCGAGGTAATTCATGGACCCCCAACATCTACATAAGCAAAAGATGGTCCTATCTAGCACCTTCATTGTTAAGAGCTATATTCAATGCCATCACAATTCTAAATCTACCACAAACATGGTTCATTTTAAAACCCAGCACCCCACTTCATTAATCATTAGAGAAATACAAACCTACACTACAATGATATTCCATCCCATTCCCACCAGAATGGCTAAAATAGAGGCTCTCAAGTATTGACAGAGATGGGGACAAACCACTCTCACACCATTGGTGCAAGTTCTTCAAAAAACTGTTTGAAAGTTCAACGGAGAAACTTATGACCCTGCCACTCGACTCCTGTCACAACAGAAAGGCATACACACGTGCACCCAAGGACAGGAAGTCAAACATTCCCAGCGGCTCTATTTACAATAGCCCTAAACTGCAAACTACCAAAACATCCATCAACAGCAAAACAGATAAAGTGGGAACATTCTCACAGTGGCCTGTGCCACACCAATGAGCATCAACAGAACACAAGCAACAAGACGGACAAATGACACACTGAGCAAAGGAAAGAGGTTGTATCAAGAGACCACAATGCGTCTGATTCAATGCACGAAAGTTAAGGGCATAAAAAGGGAGGCTGTGCAAAGTCAGGACATGGTTGCTCGGGGTAGGGAGTAACTGGCAGGGATCGGGAAGGGGCTTCCGGGGCGCTGACTGTATTCTTCTTGACAGGGGTGCAGGTTTATGTTTGTAAGTCTGGCTTGAAAGAGTCACCGAGTTCTGCATTTGTGCTGTGTGCACTTTTCCACATGCATATTATACTTCAATAAAATGTTTTCCTAAAGACGGAGCAGCAAGCATGAGCCAGAAACCGCCACGAGTTACACACATGAAAACAATGTGGTTCCCTCCTTGTAAGGAAGCAGCAGCTTAAGCAATCACTTCAGCCCTGAAGTCAAGAGACCTGAAAGACCCTCGTGTGAGTCCAGCTGGGCCAGTTACTTCAAGCTCTGTGACCCTGGGGTAAGTCCCTTAGCCTAAGCCTCAATTTCCTTGTAACATAGAAAACAGGGAAGATGTTTAATTCATATGAGAAATGCCTTAAAAAAAAAAAAATACTACCTGGCCCACAGCTGATGCTCATTAAATGTTAGTTTCCTCCAAGCAAGAAAAAGAATCACATCCCAACCAGTCCACTGGATTGGATTTGTGTTTTCTCTTAAGGGCCAGCTGGCTGACTTCAAAGGTCTCAAATCATCACCAGCGTAAAGCAGAAAAGAGGAGAAAGAGATGGTAAGTAAAGAGGAAAAGCATTGTTTTAGAGTTACAAAGTCTCTTCAAAACAACAAATCCATTTTGTCCTTGGTTCCCCCAAAGTAGGATTCTGACACCGTCTCCCCACTGCACCCAGGTTAAAGTCAAGCCCTGGCAACCCACCTCAACCTGCTCCTGTTCACAGGAGCTAACAGGAAAAAGCCAGATGCAGAGCAGCTCAGAACAAAGTTACAGAGCCAAGGTGACACCTCTGGCTGAAGCTGCCCATGATACCCAGCGCCCATCTCAACACCTTCCTGCCCAGAACTCTCTCAGATCTTCCTTGCTCGAGGCACAAGGCCAAGATGCATCTGGAATGAGCATACTGACCCCTCTACAACCAGGACAGAAATACCACTTCTGGTGGCAAATGACTGATGCTCCTTCTCAAGTTTGCACTGCTGAACCACCTTTGAACCCCCTTCGCTTGCTCACAAGTCACTCCTTCCAGGAAGCCTTCCTTGGTTCCCCCAACTATGGCTGTGTGCCCTTCCTTTAGGAGCCCATTGGACCCAGGCTCCGCCCAGTTGGAGAACCTCTCCAGCCATGTTGTAATCACACTCTACCTGCCTGTTTCTACCCCACTGTGAGCTCTATTAAGATCAAGAGTCGGCTGGGCGCCTATAGCTCAACCTGCTAAGGCACCAGCCACGTACACCTAAGGTGGCGGGTTCGAATCCCCAGCCCGGACCCGCCAAAACAACAATGACGGCTGCAACCAAAAAATAGCCGGGC